ACTGGTTCCGACACTCCAACTCGAGCAATCCGCCCGCCTCCGGCCCAGACGTGTAGGATTACGGCATGGAGCCACCGCGCCGCCGCCCGCCAACATCTCTTACAACTCACACTAAAAACTCACAAAGCTATTTCTAGACAAACACCATCACACTAGTCTCGATCTGATTCTTTCATCTACATTATCTCACCCACATTTGACTTCTAAGCTCTCCTCCATGGTTGTAAAGTCCACCACAACCACACTGGACCGGGTAGATCTCTATCCATCTCAGGGCGACGCAGAGGAATCGTGGGGTGAATAATCATGCATGTCGTGAGAGATGGGCTTATGCTGCGGAATTAGCATTGGGACACAGACCGTGAAGGACTACAACGCCTCCTCCTAGACATGTTCTCTACCTCGATTTCCAAGAAGGTTAGACTATCCCTCTCTTATCGCAGAGTACGGCAACCCTAATCCACATTTCAGCTGAAATTCTCTCATCAGCATTTTTTTTTCTCTTCGGTTTACGTTCTGCTACCACGCCTTATCTGCCATCGTTAGTAAGACTACCATTCTTCTTCGAATATTCAACTTCAATTTACTTTATTTCTTAAAGGCTAGCTCAAATGAGAGCATGGGAGTGGAGAAGGAACCAAAGAATCTGTTAACTGGCTGTCATCCCAGTTAGTTATAAACACCCCTCACTCGACACACGTCTTCTTCGAATATTTTTCATTTAAGCCATTAAAATGTTCACCAATCGTTCTTCGATCTGTATTAGTTGACACTACCATAAATCTGAAGGCTTGTTTACGGTTCAATAAGATTGGTGAGAGCTCGACTCCACCTAGTCGATTTCATATTCATATTCAACAAACCTGTATAAAAAGCAGTAAGCCAAATAACACAACATCACATGATCTGGAATAAATATGGTCTCCCCAAAAGCCTTACCTTTATCTTCCGATGGTTGTTATCACCCGAAGCCACACAGGTCTGAGATTGAGATGCCCATGAATGAAAATTCTGCCAGGTCAGTCAGTGCCAGAGCAATGGAGTAGCTGCCTTTGTATCACTGAGCGGAGGTGGAGGCAAGTGGAGGCAGACCACAGTTGGCTGCTCGTAGGATCCACCCTATCATCATATGAGGAAATCCCTACTGTAATTAAAGCCACACTCTTAAACCTGTGGCTAGAGTTCATATGGTTCAACAAATCTCTC